TCTACGTGGCGCCGTCAAACGAAACCCGAGACGGCCAATAGAATTCGACGATACTCGATATCCCCTTTTATTCGTCATTGAACGCTCAAGCCAAGAGAAGGTATAACCCACCGTTAATAGCACCCTGCTGTAACCGGCGGCTGGCCGAACTAACGTTCTTCGTGTTCCGTGCAGAAGGAAATGGCGAAGGAGCGAGGAGAGAGGAGAGAGAGAGAGAGAGAGAGAGAGAACGGTGAAAAGACACGTGGAAAAAAAAGGAGTCCCTGAGAAGAGAAGAGAAATGGAGTGTGGTTCTAGAAGCTGCTAGACCATTCTGCAAGAATAAAGGAACGAGAGATACGTATGAGCGAGTGTGAGAGAGAGAGAGAGATGGCAACATCTGCCGTAGCATAGCTTTCATCTCAGTCTCTCGCACTGTGCTCAAACACGTATATATATATACACACACTTCAAAGTAATACTAGGTATAGTTCTTTCTTCTTATCTCCTTCTTCGTCTCTACGGTAGGTATTACCGACTCCGTCAGTGTATACAGGCTGGTATCTATATATATATATATATATATATATATGTACCTATAGCCATACATATATACATATAAAAAAAAACAAGGATATATAAGAACTAATGGCAGAGGACCACGAGGTTCTTAGCCGGTCTCTGTTATGGCTGCTTTGCAGCGATACCACGCGCTACGCTACGCTAGACTGGCAATCGAGCATAACCACACACCTATGTGTATATATATATATACATACTATACAGAGTCCCAGGCCTTAAGTCCGTCTTACAATCTCTCACGATCCATCAAAGAAAGAAAGAAGGGAAAAAAATTTTTGATCCCGACTATCCCCCACCTTTTGAATTTCCCGCGTGACGGATGACCGAGAAATTCTCAATACTCGGCTACGTTCAGGTTATCTATAGGTATATATCAACGCCTGTCCTAAACAGTACGTATACACCAACTGCTATACTTATTACGTGGCACTGTACCGATATATATATATATATACGATTATCGTCTCCAGACAATAGATACATGGTATCTGTTCAAGGATGCTGGGTTATATACCCAGGAAGCCAAAGGACCGTATCTCGTGGTTCTTTGAGACAGGCAAGGGAGCCTGGACTAATGCATGGGCAACGGATAATTGCAGAAATACAAACGTAATGGGTTTCTGCAGAGATTACAGCTTAGCGCACAGTATCGTATAGGATTCTATGCAGCATCTGGCAATAGGGTATATATACACGTGCAAGGATACTCAATAGGCGAATATCCTTGGAAACTAAAGTTAAAGCCGGTTTCACACGGCAACGACCGTTCGATCGAAGCGACGACCGGTGGACGTAAATGCTAGACCGTGAGTCCACGATACACCATGGTAAAAGTATGTTTACGCGTTACGTAAGTACGGGCCCGTATGCGTGCCGCTGATAACGGAGGGCGTTATCACGTGCTGATAATGGATGGAGGGGGCGAG